CTTGTAGATCTTCAATTTTTTTTTTAATTGTTTTAAAGGTCAAACCCACGTTTTGGTGGCTTTCTTTGATGTTATTTCCATGAATAAATAGGATGAACTTAAACCTATATTCATTATGTATACATGCAACTGTTATCAATAAGATTAAGCTCTATATTTATTTTTATAATTTTTTTGGGTGAAGAAGGTATGAATTTATTACACAAGGAATACTATCAATGCATTATTAAAAATTCACTTAAACCTAGTCGGAAGAAAAGAGTATAGTTAATATATAAGTTATGTTGACAAACACCCAAAAGCATATACACATATGCTCAGCTTGGATTGTTGAAAAAAATAAGTAAAAACGTGGTTTATGTGCTTAAAAAATTAATGTGACTCTCGTATTATTTTTTCTCTAAACGTGGTTTAATGACATGACGGTCCACAATACTGATATGATAATCAAGGGTGATTAATAACCTGACAGATAACATGACAAATGAGCTAAATTAATAACTTAAACATACTGGATGGACTACCACACATACAATTAAACATAAAAAAATATTGATCAAAAGACCACATTTAAGTTTATTTTTTGAGTTAAAGTACCATGTCAATTTTTTTTCTTCGAAAGTACATAGTACTCCAATGTTTTTTTTGTCAAAATGATATTTTGATTCGAATTATGAGTGTTTTGTATGAACATATATCTAAAACACAAGATATGAAACAATGGAAGTACAAACCACTCCATCTTGTACTCATCTTTATCGTGTATAGTATATTATAATGTTCATGTCATGTGTTAATAAGTATTTATCAAGTTCAGGTATGAAGAATCAAGTTTCAAAGCCTGCAAAAAAAAAAGAATCTAACAATAAGAAAATGTATATACTCTTATTATTACAAAACAGATCAATCTTTGTTGCTAGCTTGGTGTATGTTTATGTATAAATGCAAGCGAATTCGTAGAGCCGTTCATCAATCCCATTCTGGGTTCAGGAATTTTTCAGACTCTGAAACAGTTCAGGAAGATGGGCGTTGGTGAGTTTAGCCTTTTTGGAGAACTCCTTGTTCTTCTGCTTAGGCTTGGGCTTGGAGGAAATGCCCTGCACTTGGGCGGCAGCTCTTCTTTTCGCTGTGTTCGTGGCGGGTTTCATTCCATTCTTCTGGAGATCCTTCTCGATGTCGATCATGTCTCGTGGCAATTCGATTGACCGGAATAATTCTTTGAGGTCGTCGTCCACCTTGATAGGTACTCTCGGATCATTTGGGAAGGCAATGTCTTCCTGAGAGTCAAAATTCGATAACAGCCAGATCTGACCCGCAGCTTTCAGAGCCTACAAAAAGAACAACAATAAGCATATTTGCATGTTTATGTAACGTATTCCACATGACGTGCTACACTCGTTGCTTTTACGAAGTTCAATTATCTAACAAGATCCGATATGGAAACTTAAATCTGACATAATAGTAGTAGGAAGCGAAGGAAAATATAAACTTATTTATACCTGCAAGTCTTCCATCACATTAGGATATGCATCCTTCAGATCAATTACAGCAATACCTTCAATAAATTTCCGAATCAAAACAAGAAGTTCGTTCTTGTTCTTTACGTCGTGCTTAGCCTGTAAGGATTAACATATGGCAATGCTTGATATTATATACATGCTGAGAACAAAAAAGAGCAAGCCTATCATAAGGTCAGAACATCAACCAAGTAAACATCACCTTGTAAGAGAAGCGCTTTCCATCAAAATTTACTTTAGGATTTTTCCTCAATCCCTCAAAGACATCTCTGTTGCCGTTGATGTCAACATAACATGCTTCATTGATCTGTTCGGGTGTGTAAGCTTGCCTTGTCTGCAACCATCAATGCATATATTACAGCTTAATTAAGATTTTCAGCTCCTTACAAAGCACTAATTGCTAATTCCCTTTTAAACAACATGATAGTAATGTCAGCAGAAACAAGCATGTGAAAAGTCCATATAAACATCAACTAGCACTTTTTCAAGATCTCGAAAAGTGAATACACCATCAAATCTCAAGTCCCTGGCCGTTCTTTGGTGTAAAATCAAACCATCAATATCACTACTCGAGGATCAATAATATAATAGAATCCCACCCCAGAGCTTCCCTTAGTAGACACAATGAATAATGTTTCTGATAAAGTAAAGAACACCGACCCGTTTCAACTTAAAAAGGTTAGAAAGGAATATAACAACGATCCTTTAAGGACCTACTGGTTACTATTCCAAACTCTGACCTCGGAAAAACTTGAATCAACTACTCTAAAAAATTCTAAAACATTATTGAATTTGCTCAAATTACCAACCATGAGAGATGCAGGGCAAAACTATCACAACTTCAATGCGATGAGACTAACAGTAGAAAATGGCAGAGACTGTACAAAATAATCAGGACCAGGACCAGGAAACTTTAAAAAACTAAAGTTTACAGAAAACCAACAAGAGGATTTCTCGTTCATCACTTATTTGTATGACCATTGCCATCGATTTCACATCAAAAGCAATTTTGCTGCATGACAGATTCATCCTCCGAATCAGCAAAACATGAAATTACCAAGGATGCTCGAAACAACAAAGATCATATACTCATGTTAACAAGGTGAATACTCTGATTATAGCATCAAACGCATAAAAGATTAAATCAAAAGGGGTTATAAAAACCTGAAATAGAATGTCAATAACACGCTTCATCTGAGCTCCAACAGGAGCTTTCCTGATGCTGTTAATATGCTGGAGCCTCTCAGTATCATTGGAGAATTTGATAGGCGCAGAAGGCCTTGCATTGGGCAAGGGCGAGGCAGCGGCGGGTGCCGATCTCGGGGTCGCGTTGCTCCTAGATGATGACGATTTGGCGGCGATGTTGGAGAGCATCGACTGACACTTCTCCTGCTGACGTTTAAAGCTATCCAATTTCTCTTGCAAAGCCATAGCTCAAGATCTTCTCAACCGTCAGAGCTCCCAAATCCTGGATACGAAACAATTTAAAAAAAAACTCAAAAGGGCTTGCTGGTATGCTATGTGATTAAAAAAATTCGACAAAATCCCATTTTTTATGTTACAAAGCTACCATAAATCAAAATTCCATGACCCAACCAGATAAAATCCATAATATAATTGAATTAGCAACATGAGCATCTATAGAAAATAAAACACTAACTTTTTATCAGCCAAAAATTACGATTTGAAACGCTCTTTTCATTAAAGGAAAGCAATAATTCAATCAATAGAAGATAGTAAAAGAAGAAGGAATCCAATCCTTCGCGTTTGTATGCCTTTGCTTTCTCTTCTCTCGGTCGCTTGGGGTTTTTGGGTCCTTCAATTCCCCTTTTGTTTTACATCGTTTATTATAAAGTAAGGAAGAGGTCCTCGAAAATAAATAAGTAATAATGTAGGGACGTGATCGTAAATCCGTTTCCACGACGAAGAGCTTTCCCTGAAGTGCCCTTTACTTTTATTTACTGGTAAACTACATGTTTGGTAACTGAACTTTACTCTCTCTTCTATTTCACTTATTGTACTTTTAATTTTTTTAATTTATTCACTAAAACTTTATAGATTTGGTTTTTCTTGTCACTCCGTTGTTAAATAATTAACAGCATAGTAACAACAAATTTAATCTATAAATTTTAGTGAGTAAATTAAAAAATTAAAATTTCAATGATAGAAATAAGAGAGAGAGTAAAATTTAATTACCAAATATGTAAATTATCCTTTATTTATGATTATTTTTACAAAAACATTTATTTAAATTTAAATTTTACGGTTCAAAATTTTAAAATAACCCGTGACCATATAATTTATTTAAAATTTAATTAAAGGTAAAAATATGGTAGGATTTGATTAAAAAAATTAAAGGTAAATTGTATAAATGATTACTTAAATTTGAGTTAGTTTTTCTCTCTATCATCGATGTTTTAAAAGTATCGATTTAATCACTAATTTTATCGATTTATAATAAATAGATCATTCGACTTATAGAAGTAATTATTGAGGTAACAAGCGCGTTATTCTTTTTCATTGGTGGATGATAGCTTATTTGTTGACTTTATTGTGTATTTATATGTTTGTAACTAGGATTGTAAATAAGACGAGATAGTTTGCGAGCTACTCGAATTCTTAACGAGTCGAAATGAGTTACTTGATGCCTAAATCGAAAATGTTATGTTGAACTAAAAAAATATATATTATATTTTAATTTTTTAAAATTAAATTATTTATAATATTAACATTTATATATTTATTTTTTTTTAAATGCAATATAAGGATTTTATGTATTTAAGGTTAAGGTTCGAGTTTGAAGCGAGCTCAAGTTATAGCTTCAATCGACTAAGTCTGAGAATATTTCGAGTTTGAGTTTTTTCGAGCTCAAGTCGAGTTTTATTTTTTTTATTTCTAGTTTAACTCGAACTTGATAATTTTAAATTCATGAGATTTCAAGTTAAATTGAACTCAACTTTAAACCTTTCGAGTATTCAACAATACTTTATAATTTAAAATAATTTAATTTTAAAATTATTAGTTTTAGTTCGTTTTAATACCTAAGCTTTTAATTTTTTCAAAACCATGCCTAACGTTTAGTTTTTATTTCATTTTAGAATCCGACCATTAAAAACTTAACACATTTAATACATAAACCATCAATTTTGGTCGGTTTTAGTATCTGAACTTTCATTTTTTTCAAAACATAACGTTAAATTTTGAATAGTGTTCTAAAATGAAACAAAAACTAAAGTTTTTAACGGTTGATACTAAAATGAAACAAAAATTAAACTTTAAATATAATGTTGGAAAAAATAAAAGTTTAGATACTAAAACAGACCAAAAAAGATAGTTTAAATACTAAATGTGTAATTTACCCTTAATATTATTTGAAGACATGTATTCGTATTTAACATTCATTAAGAAGTAATATTGGTGAAACATGATGATGTTAAATACATGTTTACCAATAACCAATTAGTTTAATTGAATGAGGTATTAATTTTTTTAAGTAAGGTTAGGGGTTTAATCATGACGATTACGAATAGAGAAAACTGGGTTGAAAGAGTCATTTTTACCTTTATAATATCCAATTCAAATTAATCGATCAATAGATTATATACCAATAATTATATATATATATATATATATATATATATTAATACTTTCTATTAATTTGAATCGAATATTACAATTTATTTAATTAATCGGATAATACAATTCATTTAGAGTATTGGAATCAGCCTGGGGATAGACAAAGACAACTGGGGTGGAAAGTAGAAATGAAAAGGAGAGAAAAGGCAAAAACTATCTGTTTGGTTGGCGAGAAAGTGGTTTCTTGATCGTAGCACCTTGACTAAATAAAGCTTCTTCTTCATTTGACTAAAACTGCTTAATTCATTTTCCTTTCCTTGCTTTACTTTCGATGTCAGCCCCCTTTGGCTGCTTTTAAGGAGGCGCCGCTCATAGGCTTCCACTCTGTTATGCACCGCCATTCTTTTTCTAATAACGTGCTTGTTTTTTGATCCTTTGCTATTTGATTGTTGTTGTTGTTCGGATCCTTTAGTAACCCGAAAAAGAAACCCCGGTGCCATACATGAACACCCAAGACTGTTCTCAAGGTTTTTGCAGCTTGTATTGTCCTCAATGGTGCTATATCAACTTCCCTCCTCCGGCTCCGGTAGAGTTTACCGGTGATGATTCGGGCCGTAACTTCTCTCCCCTCATGATCGCGGTCATCGGCGTTCTAGCCTGTGCTTTTCTGCTGGTGAGTTACAATCTGATATTGTATAAATACTGTGGGAAGAACCTGGACTCAAGTCGAATAAGAGAGAATCGTGGCGGTGGTGGTGGTGGTGATGTGGTGGACGACGATCACGATCCTTCTACATATCATTCGTGGCAGCCTTCGACCGCCGGTTTGGACGAGGCTGTCATCAACTCCATTACGGTTTGCAAATACAGAAAGGGTGATGGCTTGGTCGAAGGAACGGATTGTTCTGTTTGCCTCGGTGAGTTTTTAGAAGATGACAGTTTAAGGCTGTTGCCTAAATGCAGCCATGCTTTCCATGTCCATTGCATTGATGTGTGGCTTAATTCTCATTCGAATTGCCCTTTGTGTCGCACTAATATAATCTCTGTTAGCGCTTCACCGCTTCCGTTGCCGCCTCCACTCACCGGATCCGCTCCCGATGTAGCCGCTGCCGACGATATAGGCAACACCCAGTGGAGGAACGTCGTGATCGAGATTAGAGAAGAAGGTGATCAACAACATATTAGAAGATCGGTTTCCATGGACCATTTACGTCAACCCCAAGTTTCGATCGCCGATATTTTGCTCATGGATCAAGAGGAAGAGTGCCAGTTCTCATCCGGTATTGCCGGATCATCGTCGAAACAATCCACAGAATCCGGTAAGTCAAGCAATAGAATGAGGGTCTTGCATCGTGCAATGAACCCTGTCGCAATGAAGAGATCATTTTCGAGTGGTAGGTTGTTTCTTGCTAGACAAGCAAGAGTAAGATACCCTTCTTTTCCCCTGTAAAAGTAAACCCTGCTACCATAATTTTGTTAGCCCAAGTGAGAACTGCAATCTTCATCTGAAATCAAGAGATATCTCGATGCTTTTTTCGAACATTGGTCGTTTGCTTCCGCGATCATAAAGAACATGTGTAATCTGTTTACGATTTGGGTCGACGTTCGATATAGTATAGCAAATATCATAGTTTTTGTTTGCGTCGGGACTCGATTCCATGACCTAATACATATACCACAGCCTGCAACTTCATTCTTCATCTTCCACAACATAAAAACTAAAGTTGAAGCAATTAAATGGAAGACATTTTGGTTGCAGTGAACTCTATGTAGAACTTCCTACCATAATGTCAAAATAAATCCCTAGAAACTTAAACATTGTCATCTCCTCGGTGTATCACCGATGTTTCACCGAAACGTTGGTTCCTATGCTTAGGAGGGGCTCGCAAAATCTCCAAATGTGATACAGCTTCTTGCGATCTTGTGTCCCCTTACAATTTTTGTTTTGATATGTTCAGGCAATCTCAAAGTATATCTATCCTCTTATCTAGTCCTAGATATGGAGTGCCCGGTTGAACTCGATCTCGAAAATTTTGGGACCCTTTGGCTGTCGTTGTCTTGTATTCGAAGAAATCGGTGCTTCGTCTTCTCCATCACCAACTGTGACGCCATCGATATCTTCTCTAATGTCAATGCAAACAACATCTTGTAATGGACCCTGATTTGCTCTGATTTCGTGAATGGAATTGCTACAAACAATCAATGGAGACTTGTCTAATGACTGCCTAGGTTCATTAAGCTCCCCGAGACAAAACGGACAAGTCTTATGCGATTCGAGCCATAGGTCGACACATTCTTTGCGGAAAACATGGCAACAAAAAGTCGAAGCATATCGTTGTCGTCGAACTCTCCTAAGGAAATAGCGCATTCTAGGCGTCGAACTCTCCTAAGGAACTAGCGCATTGTAGGCCATACTTCTTGAGACAGAACTCTTTGACGTCGAATAATAAAACGTACGGAAAGCTGCTATTAGTTAAGGATCAAGTCCGGTATTCATATCGGCACCCGCCGCGGCATCGACTGCGCCTGAAGGATTGTGCGGTCGACTCCACATACTAACAAGGCTTTGCAACATGCACCTAAAGAAGCATACCATGAGAAAAGCAATCGTGAACAAGACGAGCAAGACTACTGATATAATTATAGCCAACGGCGGGGCGGTGTTCAATGAGGAATATTCTTCGGCATGACTATAAAACGTCGACATTGAATAAAGAGAGTGGCGGTGGCCGGAGTGTAGATGGTTTTGGCCGAGTGTTTTCGCATTGACGAGAGACAATGGGGTTGACTTCTTTTGCTCGGTGGTTGTGTAGAGCGAAGAAAAAAGCTTGGCGACATTGACATTGTGTGTTTGGAGCATGAAAAAGGTGGTACAACTTAATTTGGAAAGTTAATTTCCTGCCAATTTTCGTGGAAAATCAAAACTTTTAAAATCCTTCATAGGCATGTAAATGAACCAAACACTTCGCGAAACGTTCGTGAATCTTTTGACGAGAAATTCATTTATTTATTAAACGAACGAACATGAATAAGATTTTATGTTCGTTTAATTAAATGAACGAACATGAACGAACACGAACGAATGTCTCGTTCGTTCATTTACGTTTGTGAACATTCGGTAATCCGTTCGTTTATGTTCGTTCATTTATGTCCATGTATGTTCATTTATCGTCATTCATTTATGTTCGTTTATATACAGCCCAATCTCCATACCCATTTAAAAATTAACACACAATCATTAATATTTTAAAACCCAAATAATTTTAAACTTAAATCAATTAAAGAAAATATAAATCACACCCATTTAAAAACCAAATAATTTTAACTATAAAGTTATAGGTTACATTAATGAATAAACAATTTTATGTGGTTATTATTGTTGTTGTTTATGTTCGTTTACGTTCATTTATTGTGTTCGATTATGTTCATTTGTTATGTTTGTGCATATTCATTTATGTTTATTTATTGTTTTCGTTTATGTTTGTTCGTTTGTGTTCGTTTATCATTTAAATTAATAAACACGAACAAGCTAAATTCCTTAATGAACAAACACAAACAATAAATTTTGTGTTCATTTATGTTTGTGTTCGTTCATTTATTCGGTTTAAGTTAAACAAACGAACGTGAACATACCCCGTTCGGTTCATTTACCCTCCTAGTCCTTGAATTGTACAATGTCCATCCTTTTAGAGTTTTAAAATTTTAGTCTTTTATCTTAGTAGTAACCCAGAAATATAAGAATATATGCATTAACTATCACTTTTGTTTCATCCTATTCTAATTTTAATTAATCAATTTCCAAATATGGCATGCTCTTGATAGATTTATATCTTATAATTGAAATGATTTTATTAAAACAATTTCAATTAATTTAACGAATTTTAATTTGAAAAAAAATGATAATCTTAATCATTCAATATTTGTGTTAATTATAGTGATAATTTTAAGAGTTAATTGCATCGCATTTCCTTAATGTATGATCCTCATTTTAAATTAGTCTATAAACTTTTAAATGTTTCAATTTTATCCTTAAACTATGACTATCATTTTAAATTAGTCCTCAAACTTTTCAACATTTCATTTTCATCCCCAAGCTATGACCACCATTCTAAATTGGTACCCAAACTTTTTGAACATTCTAATTTCATCCCAAACTATACATATATACTAATCACATCTATTTTTAATAAAATTGTTAGGCCAAGTTATATCATTATATGTTTGGAAAAAAACAAATTTTAGGTTAAATTGTAATTGAAACTAACTACATATTTGGATGAATTTAGGGATGAAATTGGAATATCCAAAAGTTTAGGGACTAATTTAGAAAGGGAGTCATAGTTTGTGAATGAAATTAGAATGTTTAAAAGTTTAAGGACTAATTTAGCATGAGAACCATAATTTGATGATGAAATTTGAATATTCAAAAGTTTAATAATCAATTTAAAATGAGGGTTATAGTTTGGAACCATATGATGTAATTAACTCTAATTTTAAGCATATTAAAAATAAATAAAGTATACAAATAGTCCTCTAACTATAGAATATTGCTTTAATTAATGTCCCTCGACTATGAAAGTTATAAAATGTTTCTTTGACTATAGAGTGTTACTTTGTTGAGTCTTTTGACTATCAAAAGTTACAAAATAGTCACCTGACTATTATTATGTTCTAAACTCGTCATATTCTGTTAAAAAATTGACAACTGCCTAAGCTGAATATTAATATGATGATTGAAATGTGATAATCATATAAGATTCTCGACAAGATTTTATCATATTACAATCAGCAAGTTAACGTTCAACTCATACTACTGTCAAATTTTTAACAAAAAATAACGAGTTTGAAACATAATAAATAGTCGGTGTCTATTTTGTAACTTTTGATAGTCCAATGATTCAACAAAGCAACATTATGTAATCAGATGATCATTTTATAACTTTTAATAGTCGAGATGCTTAATAAAAAAATACTATATAATCGGGATTAATGTACTTTACCCTAAAAGTAATAAACTTTTACTCAAAAAATTGATGTTTCATGCAACCGGAACTTTCCTAAACACGTGGCAGCACCGCCTTACGCTCTTCGCCAAAGCTAAAGTCCGTTCTCACACGTGTCACCATCTTCTTCTCTCCTCTCGTAACCATGTATATATTCACGTAAAGCTCCCATTTCAATGGCGTAACTGAAAACGAAAAGAATGGAAAGAAGAAAAAAAGAAGACAACGCTTGTTTCAGCTATCAAAGCTGTGATTTTGAGAGGTGGTACGATTCCGGTCACGTCACCGGGTCTCTCCGGTTCTACTTCGCCACAAGTTTCCACGCTTTCACGTCAAAGTTCATTTGCCGGAATTTACTCCGGCGAGAGAACGTCCTTTGGCTCGCCCTTGATTCATTTGTTTTCCCCTATGGATTAACGGAGGCCCAAGGAAACTCAGCCGAACTTAAGGCGAGCGCTGTCCGATTCCGACATTGTGCGATCGGTGCATAGGGTTCCCGTTGGATCTTGGGGGTTTTGGGCGGGGATACCGGAGGAGCAGTGCGTGTCGGACGACGAAGTGGATAGGAAATTCCGAGCGTTGGTGACCGGGAATGGAAGTGATAAGAAGAGTTCCTCGCCGGAAGTCAGGATCTCGAAGGAGGAGATTGGTCACTCGGGTGACGGTGTAGGGAACAGCGGGAAGACCGGCGGTATTCACGGCAATGATTCGTACGGTCATAAGATCCAGATCGGTGATTATTATAGAGAAATGCTGAGATTGAATCCTGCCGATTCGCTTCTACTCAGAAACTACGGCAGATTCTTACACGAGGTAAATATTTTATTATCAATAATAATATTACGCCTAATTATTGTACCTAATATTTTGGGAACAAAATTTTTATTTTAATTAGATTTAAATTTATAAGTGGAACACATCAAAATATTATTTTAATATTTATTAAATAATTTGGTTATTTAGTATTTTAATTTCTAATTTTATTATTCTTTTAGATTTTTTTCGTTCATCAATTAAATTAAAATCATGATATTATAAATTAATCTCTCCATTTTATATTTTAAATTTGATCCTTTGATTATGTCTTTTATAAAAATCAATTTATTAGCTTTTTTATATTATCATCGTTATTTTATCCTCAATTCTTTTATTTTAAAAAATAACATTATAAATATATTATTTAATTTTATATTATAATAATTAATTTATTAAATAATACTATAAATCTTACTTACACATATAAAAATATAAAAAAAATATTTTATCATATATGATTAGATATAATCATTTAAATTAAAATTAATCAATATCATGACATTATACATAATTATTTTTAAATATAATAAAAATTTGAATAAATATATTAGGTTCGACTCAGCTCAAATTTCATACAATTGATTTGATTTCAACCATTCAAAGTCATAAAATAGTCACTCGATTATTCATTATGTTCTAAATTCATCCTTTTATGTTAAAAAAATTAATAATATTTTGAGTTGAACATTAATTTGTTGATTGTGATATGATATAATTTGATCCCAAAATCTTAAATGACTGTCATATTCTAGTCGTAATTTTAACGTTCAGCTCAGACAACTGTCAATTTTTTAGTGAAAAAAACGAATTTGAAACATAATGAATAGAAAAATAACTATTTTATAATTTTTAATAGTCGAAAAACTTAATAAAACAACATTCTTTATATTGAGACTTAATAAAACAGTAATCCCAGCCTTTTAATTTATCACAATCTGATCCTCATTTCATGTGGGAAGCCGAGGAAGACGATAACGAAGAAGACGAAACGGGTGACAAATTCGGATTTTCTCCTCCTATAATCCCAGCCTTTTAATTTATCACAATCTGATCCTCACACTTTACGAATAGTGACGAATTAATCCGGTTATTGATAATTATTTGTTTTAAATTCAATAACTCAATCATGAAAATTAATTGCGTTTATCTTATTGAATTGATTTCTCAGAATTCGTAAAGTATGAGAATTTGATTCTGATAAATTAAAGAGATTGATTTATTAATTTTTATAATTTAAAAGGGACCGATTTATCAATTTTAGATTAACCATAGATTAGATAATGTTTTTGTGCAATATTATATTAATGATTTAAAAGAGATTGATGGATTTATATTTGATGTATTACTGATATATTTTTTATATTTTCAATAAAATTAATAATTTTATTATTATTTATTTATTTATTTTATTTATAATATAATAATTAATATTTTATTTAATTATTAAATGTCAAATTTATGATGTGAGAAAAAATGATAAAAGTAATATATATTAACTGGTTTAAGTGAGAAAAGAAAATAATTTTTTTAAAATATATAAATTTTAATAGTAATATATGGAGAATATGTACGTATTATTAATAAATTAAATGAATTATGAACTCATAGTATACTTCTTACGAAGAGTTTTAATTTATATCATTTTTTGGTTATACATATTATTTATAACATTTTTTATTAACAATCGAAAATATAAATTTTATAATATTTTCGATTATACCCATTCTAAACTATTATCAAATTCAAAATTTATATTTGACCGCTCAAAATTAATAAAATTAATACTTTTGGTAATAAAACTATTAGTAGTACATTATTTATACATTAATTGTTAAAGTATTTAAATTTAGCTTTTTAATTATACATTTTATGAAAGATTGGAAATAATACCTATACCTATACACCCAAAATTACAACAAAATGTTTAAAATTATAACCGTAACTAAACACATAATTATGATATTTTTCTATAACTATTGAACGAGAAACTAATCATTTGAGATCAATGACCAAATAAAGAAAAAGTTAAAAAAGTCAATCAAAATAATCGAATAAAGATAGACACAAATAGATCAGTTTGTATCAACAAATAAACAACAAAAGGGGATGAAAACTACTGAAAGACCACCGATAAATCACGTATCCAGTAATCTGAGGGTCCAAAGTAGAGAAGATCATCAAGATAATAAATAAACGTCATTTTAATCAATCAATATGTCATCTAATCCAACCCTGAAGAAATATAAAAACAAAAAGAATGACCAAACAACCGAAAACATACCAAAAGATAGAAGATGATGGGTCCTAATGACATAAAAACGTAACATAAAAATAAAATTATTAAAAAATAATAAATAATTATATAATATAAAAATAAAAGATATATAAAAACAAAAATAACAAAAGTAGAAAAGGGAAAACGGCCCAATAATAATAAAAAAACGTGGGGAAAACCCTTTGGTGTAGTAAATTTAATTTTAATCCTAGGCACATAAATCACGTCACTGTTTAACTCGTGTAAACATGTATTTCAATATATAAGATGGTAATCTTTTAAAATAAAATTCTTATAATTTTATTACATTTTAATATTTTTTAAAATTTTTTAAAATTTTTAGTGACTTCATGTCACCTGATAAGAAAATGGCAAACATTCCCTTCTTAGCTTGGCAAAATTGTCCCAATATCGTAAGCAGCTAATTATTTAGCTCAATACGACACCATATTTTATTTTGGAAACTGTGATATTTATCACAGTGATCTAGAACTCCTCATATGAGCACGACGATCTCTGATAAAATATATTTTTATTAGAATTTATCACTTTGATATGATAAAATATAATAAAAATATAATTTTTTGAATTTATCATCTCGACACGATGAGTTTTAATAAAAAAAATATTATTTAAGTAAACTTGTTATGTAGATGTGACAAGACTCTTAACATTGTGGTCGTGGGATCAAGTCTCACGGTGGACAATTCATAATTACTAGAGGTCTTCCACGGAAGTTGCTCTCAACCTAGTGTTAGGGGCAACCTACTACCTTACCTCCCTCTTACTCCATTATATATGAGAATATGATTAGCTAAATTTTAAGGAAAAATAATAAAAAGCCCAATTCAAACTAAAAAATATATACCACACTGTCCAAATTCGTCCCACACGGTTCCTTTGGATTGTGCGGCCCGAATTCGCGTATCACCTAAAGCAATATACCACGTGTTCCACTTGTATACTAAACTTGGTTACTTTATCATCCCCTCGTTTGCCCTAAATCGAGTCTGATTATGCGTTTGATATTTAAATTATGATTGATTTATTTTAGTATTTAAATTTTTATTTTTTAAAATTTATATTTAAAGTTTGGTTTTAATTTCATTTAGTATTTCGTTTAAAATTTAACGTTAAATTTTGGAACAATTCAAAGTTTAAGTACTAAAACAGAATAAAACTGATAGTATAAATATTAAATGCATTAAACTTTTAATGATGATATACTAAAATAAAATATTAAGTATGATTTTAAAAAACATAAAAAATTAAATACTAAAAAAAATTAAAACTAATAGTTTAATTACTAAATAGATAATTTACCATATATATACACCTTTCCATATCTCTGCTTCGCTGTCCCCAACCAAATACCCCGCGAAAATAAATAAATATATAATTTTTATTTTCCCAAAGCTCTATAGAAAAAGGCCAAAGAAAGAAATTTTTTTTTTATGATTTTTAAAAATAAAAAAAGGAAAAAAACTTCCAAACAAATTGAGTCTTTTCATGAATCATAATTTCGTTTTGTTTGTATCTATCGGAAATCCGCAATGCGAAGAAACGAGCGTTTCGTTTTCTGAATCGAGTTTATCAGAGGTTAAAGAAAAGGAAGCGGAAAGGAGAGGTTTTTCTTCGACTGAGAGGAAACGCGGAGAGAAAGAGCAATGGCGGGAGAGGGGAGAAGATTCGGGATCGGTTACGCTTTGTTGCCGAAGAAAGAGAACAGCTTCATTCGAGAATCGCTGGTGAGGCTGGCGAGTTCGCGAGGGATCCATCTGGTTAAGATAGAGATGGGTCGTCCTTTGGTCGATCAAGGGCCGTTCGATTGCGTGCTCCACAAGTTGTACGGCGAGGATTGGAGGGTCCAGCTCGAGGATTTCCGTTCCCGAAACCCTAATGCCGTGATTCTCGATTCTCCAGCAGCAATCGAACGGCTCCACAACAGGATTTCGATGCTCCAGGTGGTTTCCGAGCTCAAGATCGAGAGTCAGAGCGAAACCTTTGGGATCCCTAAACAGATTGTGATTTACGATCAAGAAACCCTCTTCGATAACCAAGCCTGGGAATTGCTCAAGTTCCCCGTTATTGCCAAGCCCTTGGTGGCTGATGGAAGCGCCAAATCACACAAAATGGCCCTGGTGTTTAACCACGAAGGGTTGAACAAGCTTAAGCCCCCGATTGTTCTGCAGGAATTTGTTAACCATGGAGGTGTTATTTTCAAGGTTTACGTGGTTGGGGAATACGTGAAGTGTGTTAAAAGGAAGTCGTTACCAGATGTTTCCGAGGAGAAATTGAATAGTTTAGAAGGCTCTCTACCGTTTGCTCAAGTTTCCAATTTGGCCACTCATCAGAAAAGTGATGATAAGTACTACAAGATGATGCATTTGGAGGACACTGAATTGCCGCCACAGAGTTTCATGGCTGATATTGCCAAGGGTTTGAGAAAGGCAATGAATTTGAACTTGTTTAATTTCGATGTGATAAGGGATACCCGATTCGGGAACCGTTATCTTATCATTGACATTAACTATTTTCCGGGTTATGCGAAAATGCCAGGCTATGAAACAGTTTTGACTGATTTCTTTTGTGACATGGTCGATAGGAAGGAAAGGGAAATGGTAGTGGAGAAGGATTTGGTTGAGGAGTATTGCCAGGAGGTGGCGGTAGCTGCGACTGATGGAAGGCAGGTCTTTAGTTGTGAGAAAGAAGTAAGAAAAATTGTGACCAATTCTTGCTGTAGTGATGGGGAAGAAATGGAGAACTCTATTCAAGCTTGACTAAACTTTTAGGGTGCTCGATGAAAGCTTTATCGTAGTACTAGCTTGTGGAGTCAAGCCGATTTCACAATCTCCATTTTTTTAGACATCGGTTCATGGAATGGTGAAATAGCTAGGTTGGATACTTTGAGTTTAGTTGTAGCTTTCTTGACAACAGTTACATGGTGTTCTCAGTGTTAATCATGTATATTCTGTCCACCAACTTCTGGAGATAGGTACTTTTCGAAACTCTATGACGATTTAGGGAACTTTAAGTTGTACTTTGAGGCTTTGAAGTTTAATTTGTGGGGTTTACCATATAGTTTCATTTAGATATTCTTGTTTTTTTTTTCCAATGATACTTTCATTTTAAATGTTATTTCTTTATATTGGCACTGGTTAAATCATGTGCTTCTTTAAATGTTTGATTGAATTTAGGTTTGAAGAATTGATTGATATGTTTCCCTTAGGGTTTTCGTCTTTGAATATATCAGAATCTTTCCAAAAATGGTTATAAAAAAAAGATGCAACTGTATTCCCTTTTAGACTTTAGATAATTAGGCTGCTAACTTGCTTTATAAGATGGATACACAATGATGGCATATTAATGGATAAGTGATGCAGTTATTTCCTGTAATGATAGATGAGAGCTATTAGAAAGGAGGAAAGATTTTGATTCACTTTAGGGATTAAATTTCAAATGATTTCAACAGCTACTAACTCGGAACTAGGTTATCTTTGTTGCATGAACTGATTTCTCAAAAAGGATGTTGGTAACACGGAATCCATTGACACGTAAACCATTCTGGTTTTATGTAACTGTATTTTCCTTTGTCCTGTTGTTGCATCCCGTCTTTATGGCATCCGCGATGCCGCTAGGCGTAAACGACAAACCATTTTATAAACTGCTCCGGTTTTGTATGTTCCAATTTCCTCGTGCGCTGAAATCCTGTTTGTGTTCGTGACTGTCCAATGCGACAACTGTGATTGTACTTCGTTGTTTTACAATTTTGTTAGGGATTTTGCTACCTCATGCATGTACATTTTACTAGCTCCGAGCGATACTATCTGCAAACAAGCTCTCTGGGTATGTTTTCCTCTCGGAACTTAAGTGTCACGTTGATGCTAAAAAAGTATGAATGAGTCTCCGGTGTACATAGAAATGCAGTTGCTTGAACTGAATGACCGCTTAGAAAACGAAGTCAACACGAAAGATGAAGTTTATAGGAGACTTTGGTGTGTCCTTTGATTATCTCATCCCTAGACTTATGCTCTAACTGAGGAATTCAATGTATACTCAACGATATGAAAAGTTGAAAACCATGTAGGATGATTATAAAAGACAGTAACAAATCAGAACGAATAGTGGTGAATTTGACTCGAATATCCCTCGATCCAGCAAGTGAACATGCGGTGAAATATTAAACAGAATTGGCATTGATTCTTCAAACAAGTTTGGGCACTTCTAAAGAAGAAGAAAAAAAGGAAACTCAGTGGTGGCAACTGAACCGATCTGAACCCCAAAAAGAACCAACAAAACCAGGAGGGTACCTATCAACAAAGCTTTTTCATAGCCCAAATGCTAAAATCACACAAGCTTTTGATCTAGTAGTGACAAATTCAATATATATATATATAAACAGATTTTGCAAGATCAAAGTTAGAACCAAAAGTATTTCCATGCATCCACATTTCAGAATTTGCATTTATATACAGGCAGACCTTCCATACAAAACATGAACTTGAACTACAAAATATCTATCATATAGCTTAAACTATTCCAATTTACCTGCCTGCATGAACAGTTGAACACCTTCCATACAAAAGCATGAGCTTGAACTACAAAATACCTATCATATAGCTTCAACTATTCCAATGCCTGCATAACAGATTTACCCCATTTTCGCTGTGCAACCTCCATAAGGCTAAGACTATATAGACTTGTATCTTCCTCGGTATCGCTTTCCAGAAGACGCAACAAATCCAAAACAGTTGGTCGCCGTAACTTCTGCCTCGCAGAACTTGTACCGATATTAGAATGGACTGGTTCACTTCCATTAACCAATGAAGGCAGCGCCTCCAGTCCATTGTCAGCTCTCTCGTCCGGTTCCTCATCGACTCCAACTCTCTCATTAGCCACCAGTTCCTCATCAGCACTTTCATGATTATCTTCCACCCTCAGAATGGCCCAGGATGGCAACACCCGTTTTCCCTTGGTTTTCACCCCAATTGCCCTCGAATTGGAACCGATCTCACCGTTGCATCGAACCTGATCAATATCCCCTGCAATGTTCCTATTTTCCCCGAAGTTTACTTCACCGTTGTCAGTTTCGAGCGCCGGTTCTGGAGAACCACCGGGAGACGGAGTAATATTCCTCAATGATACCAATAATGCCACAGTATCACTCATTTCCAGAGTTTCAGTCAGCGAAGATTCTTTTCCCGAAACCCAAATTTCTTCAGATTCCACTTCCATAAACCCCAAGTCCGTATCTCTCCACAAATCAACGACACTCTCGCCGTCCACCTCCATGGGCACGGTTTCACGATCAAGACTACTCCCGACCATTCGAGCATCGCTGTAGTTATCTGAGGAAGAAGTGGACCTGAACTCAGGAGGAGTGTGGTAGGTCTCCTGGTCTTCGGCAACGCTAGATTGCTGATTGGGCAGTTCGTCTTCCGGTGAATCGGGAGGGGACAACATTTTGATGCCGCCGTCGATTTCGACCGGAACATCAACCGGATTCCGATCAGCTTCGTCGGAGTTATCAGAATCCGACATTCCAAAATACGGGCAGTTTCGCAACTCGGACGCCTCAGGAGATGACATCTTGCATTCATCGAGTAACCAACCAAAAGGATCGTCGTCTTCGTCCATCTACGATTTCGATTTCTTTTCAGTGAATAAAATGATTTTGGAATTTTGAACCTAAACGAGAAGAGAACAATTCTTGTTTCCTATTCCTCTAACCAAATCGTTTATAGCGTGAAGGGGAAGCTCGGTTAAATTCTTGGGTAAATTAAGTATTTAGTATCTAAACTATCAATTTTAGTATATTTTAGCACTTAAACTTTCATGTTATTCAAAATTATGTCTAAAGTTTAGTTTTTGTTTCATTTTAGTAGTCGGTAAACACTTTAGTTTTTGTTTCATGTTAGTACCTGTTTGAATTTTAAGTTTTGAAAAAATTGAAATTATAGGTACTAAACTGGACCAAAACTGGTAATTTAGGTCCTAAACATATTAAGTTTTTTAACAGAGGGTACTAAAATGAAATAAAAACTAAATATTAGGTATGAATTTGGGAAAATTGAAACTTTAGGTACTAAAATAGATCAAAACTGATAGTTTAGGTGTTAAATGCATAATTTACCCTAATTTTTTGGTGAAAGTAACTGGTAGGTCCCTTAATCATAGGGACTATATCAATTTAGCGCTTGAATTATTAATTGCATCAATTTAATCCTTCTATTACAGTATTAATGATAATTAAATAAGGTTCAATTTCTAACTATTTAACATTCATATTTAAAAAATAATAAGATTTGTATTTTCTTTGTTCAACTTCAAACAAAAGATTTTCATTTACAAAATTAGAAAAACTATATAAAAAATAATTAATTATCATTAAAAAATAATTAACATTTTCTATATAGGAGATTAATATTTTATAAATAAATCGAGAAAAATAGAGATTTAAGTGGATGCAGAGATTTTCGGACAGAGAGACCCAGAATTAATATAAGTTTCTTGTCTAAGATTTAATGAGCATATATATACTCAGAGTTTATAGCGTTAGTGGATACAAGTTTTTTTTATTAATCATTAGTATTCGATTTATCGATCGATTAATTTAGATCGGGTACTATAGAGGTGAGGGCGACCCTCCAAACTCAGTTTGCTCCATACGCAAACGTCAGTATTTGAATCCCTAGCCTTTGTTTAAGGTGTTGAGAATTTAGTGAGAAAGCAATCAAGTCATGTATATTGAATAGAGAAGATGAATTGTATTTCTTGATGTGTTTTACAAAGGCACCAGGTTATGCTTTATATAGCTTTTACAACATAGCTCACTCACTTCACGCATACACACGTAATTAAGTAACTAACTCTCAACAGCCCTTAACTACCTTAACTGCACTCAACCTCCTCAACCTATAAGCCTAACATTCTCTCTATTCTCTTTTCCTTCTCTTCTATTGAAAAGATGAACAATTGAATCGAAAGTGCTGATGCTTCCTTCAGTTCACTTGAATCGAAAGTGTCGATGCTTCCTTTCGTTCTTCTTGAATCGAAAGTGCCGATGCTTCCTTCCGTTCACTTTGAATCGAAAGTGTTGATGCTTCCTTTCGTTCTTCTTATTCACCTTCATTTCTTCCTTCCTCACCCTCTTTTACAAGGTTCATTGACATATTTTTTATGGACTCTTAGCTGTGAAGCTTTCAAGTCCCATGACACTTTGAGATAGAAGCAACAAAAATGAATACAAAATTAAACTTCTATTTACACACACAAAAGGATTATACTACTATGCAGAAATAGCTGCAGTGTGGTACTCTCCACATGAAACCTGGGTAATATTCACAAGCTCAGGAGCCTCGTCAAGGAATTTTGCACATGCATTTATCACAAGAGCCCCCTATGATCCTTCGGAAGTGACACCTCTGCCTAGCTGACGATACTCATTATAGCCCCAAGCTTGTAGTAGACCTTCATTTAATAAAGCAACTACATGTGCTGCTCCACAGGACACTTGATGGATGATCGTGTTAGGAGCAAATGCACCCCAAAATAAACAAGGTAAATTTGATCCCTGATTTTGTCCCCAAATCCAGAGTCTACATGTTGAGATGGTCCCATCATTTTCCTGAGGTTCTGCAATAGTTGCGGTACAATGTGCTCCACAAGATACAGATTTCACAAACTCTGTCTGCAATTGTTTTACTTTCTTTGGGTGTTTCCTACCATTCTCAGTGCCATCGCCTAGCTGTCCAAACTCATTAGCACCCCACGTGAATAATGACCCATATGAGGCCACCGTTGCAGTATGCTCACAGCCGCAAGCAATATCCAACCAGCGGGAATTTGTCCCCGTTGGACACCCAAAAAACTTCTCCAAGAACCCAACGGAATTTGCTGGATCCAAGCTGGCAGTAAACGATGCTGGTTTAGCAGCCGTTGCCGCTGCCGAAGACATTTTCTCCTCCTCTTCCATGCAGCGAAAGAAAAAAAAATAAAGTTAAGACCGTTTGGCGAGTGATACCATGTTGAGAATTTAGTGAGAAAGCAATCAAGTCATGTATATTGAATAGAGAAGATGAATTGTATTTCTTGCTGTGTTTTACAAAGGCACCAGGTCATGCTTTATATAGCTTTTACAACATAGCTCACTCACTTCACACATACACACGTAATTAAGTAACTAACTCTCAACAACCCTTAACTACCTTAATTGCACTCAACCTCCTCAACCTATAAGCCTATCATAAGGGACCTAATTTCTCATTTCGCTAGACCAACTTATTTTCGGTTATTTTGATACAAGTTTTGTGTGCATTTTATTCTCATCTGCCCATAATTTTTTGTTAATTTTTAAGTAAATTTCTATATTAATTTTTTTTGTAATTTACTATCAATTACTTATATTATTACGTACCAACTTTCATTAAGAATTCTAGGGTAAATTACACGTTTGATATCTAAATTATCATTTTGATCCGTTTTAATACCTAAACTTTAAAAAAAATTAAAAAAATTAACTAAAGTTGAGTTTTTATTTTATTTAGTACCCGCGTTAAACGGATAAGAACTAATAGTTTAGGTACTAACCACATTAAGTTTTAAATGACGAGTACTAAAATGAAAAAAACTAAACATCATGTATGATTTTGAAAGAAAAAAAATAAAATTTTAGATACTAAAACAAATCAAAACTAATAATTTAAATTCTAAATGTGTAGTTTACCCATAATTCTATATACTTTGATTCAAACGCCCTCATGCTTGTCCAGCATTACCTCATTTTCTTCTATTTGTGTTTTAGGCCCTTGTAGTCATTGTCATTGTTTAACCTCAATAATTTTTTTCCTTTTATATGTCATGTTTGTTTATAATTTTTTTAATAAAAAAAACTCGTTTCCTCGTTTGAAAATCCAAACCCCATTAAATTAATGATTTATCATATAAAAATTAAGCTTTGGGGCCAATTGTAATGGTTCTAAAACAATGCTCTAAAAGCCTAGGGGCAATTCTATAAATAATGCATATCAAACCCTAAACGAAACAGAGTTAGACAACACCACATACACAGTCTGATTCAATTGCATAACTTCCAAAGCAGTAATGGAGAAAACCCCTCGGTTCAAGCTCGGATTTTGGGTCGTCCTATTGCTTATTTCATCTTGTTAGTAATCTTCTTACTGTATTATTTTTCGTTTTGATCTAAGATTTTCGTGTCCGGTGATTACATGAACTCCAATTATATCCGGAGTTGAAATCATGGCGAACCCTAGTTAGTATTGTTCTTCTCATGTTATCGGCATTAACAGTTTGATGAATTCAAGTAATATGGTGGTGTTGGGTCTCCTGCAGAGAGGTTGGGGTATGTGATTGTCCCCCATGTTGTTTGGGGTATGTGATTGTCTCCCATGTTGTTTGGGCAGTGTTGGGTCTCCTGCAGAGAGGTTGGGGTATGTGATTGTCTCCCATGTTGCTTGCCTTGTCCTTGCGATGCAGCCACCGAAATTGATGCCGTTGTTGATCAAGTACTCGCATGTTCCATCCACGTCGAATGTACAAATAATAATGCCAATTCGGCCATAATTTTTGCTATGCTACCGGTGTTTGTACTTGTTCCCACGGCCAAAACTAGCTTTGCTATAGCCTATAATAATAATCGACGTCGACTACTGATGTCACAATAGTGCATGCAGCATCAATAGGGCCTGGTGTTACACTAAAATAAAGCACTGCAAAACTCCATAAACTCGTTCGATGATGTTTGTTTACCTAGTAAAGGATGCTTTCCTGACTTAACTAGTTTTCAATCCACAGTTCTGCATATCCAATCTCAACAACCTTTGCTACAACACAATTGAATAGAGAAAAAATGCAGGCATAGGATCAATCCAATGTAGAAATTGTGTTCTTTACTGACATAGCAGAAATGATAATGCTAATCCAATTCCAACAACCAGATATCGATATCAATAACAATGGCAGTTCTAATATTGATCCAGAATAAGATGAATCTAGACCTGGACAAAAAAGTTGGTTCAAATCAAACAGCTTTCAAATAAAATCCCAGGTAGAACACTGATCAAACGATCAATCGCTCGATGCAATCTCTTGCAAGTAATGTTCAGCTTCCAAGGCAGCCATGCACCCTGCAATGTTGCAGAACGAAGTTAGTTCAACTCAACTATAAAACCGAGTACACACACAGAGCAAATGCAGATGGAATTGCCTAAGTTCCTTTTCTCAACACCATTCCGGTCAAGGGTAAAACATGTCGCCGCTTCATAGAGGGTTGAAAATGATACTTACAAATATCTCACCGGATAATACTATTGAGAAGATTCAAATCCTGATGAATACGAGTGCCAAACGAGTGCCAATTAATTGTCGAATCAACCGAACCAATATAGAATGGCCCAAGTTTCTTTCTATATAGTTCGCAACACAAGTACTTGCAGTTTCATTTTCATGGCAGGTATTTCTAATTTAGCAGGGTAATGCAAAAAAAAAAAGGGGGAGCTTGATGACAATCAAAAGAAGAATAAATTGACTAACCAGTGCCGGCAGCAGTAATAGCCTGCCTGTACTTCTTATCCTGCACATCTCCTGCAGCGAAAACGCCGGGCACGCTGGTCTTGGTTGTACCCGGCTGAGTGAGAACATAGCCATCTGAGTCAAGCTGCAGCTGGCCATCCAAGAACTTAGTGGCCGGCTCATGCCCGATGGCAAAGAATAAACCGGAGACTTTCAAATCGGAAACCTCTCCGGTGAGCATATTCTTCACTTTGAGGCCACCCAAGACCCTATCCCCGTACGCCTCCACGACCACCGAATTCCATATCACCTCTATCTTAGGGTTCGAAACGACTCTGCTTTGCATAATCTTGGATGCCCTAAACGAGTCCCTCCGATGAATGACATAAACCTTGGAACCGTACTTGGTGAGGAAGGTGGATTCCTCCATGGCGGAGTCGCCTCCTCCGATCACGGCCAAGGGCTTGTTCCTGAAGATTGGCGCCGCCCCATCACACACCGCGCAAGCCGAGATTCCTCTGTTCCAAAATCCCCCTTTCCCATCACCTGAACCCTGGAAAGTGAGCCGCTTCGCCACGGCACCGGTGGCCACGATGACCGAGTCGGCCAGGACGGTTTTCGAACCGGAGAAGATCTTGAACGGAGACGAAGAGAAGTCGACTTTGTTGACGGTTTCAGTGAAGATCGTAGTGCCGAACCGGAGCGACTGCTTGCGGCACTGGTCCATAAGCTCCGACCCCATGATGCCGTCCGGGAATCCAGGGAAGTTCTCGACATCCGTTGTTGTTGTCAGCTGGCCGCCGGGGGCAATATCGTTAGCCATCCAGCCCTCGAAAAGAATAGGCTTCAGCTCAGCACGGGCAGCGTAAATGGCCGCCGTGTGGGCGGCCGGACCGCTGCCAATGATGCAAACCTTGGTCCTTAGAGGAGTCTCCGTAGCCATCGGAAAAGGTAGTGCTGCTGCGGAAGCGGAAATGACGCGGTGGCGGAGAGCTTTTCTCAACAAAGCCTTCAGCCAAGCACTAGGGTTGAAAATGTAATGCATCTATCTTCCTTTTATTTTGCTTTTAAAGGCTTTGGATTTTTCTTCTATTTTTTATTTTTGAAAAAAATAGGCTTTTATTTATGTATGAATTGACGACGACAAATTCACCTTTGCTTTGTATGAATTGAAGTATGAACAATTTGAATGGACAGACAGCTCATGTTTCACTCTGGGTATTTGGAATGTAATTTATGTACTAAAACAGACTAAAACTAATGATTTAGATACTAAACGCATAATTTACGGTAAATTGAATTAGAATGATTAAAGGAAGTCTTTCGGTCCGAGAAATTGGTACTTGCTAAATTCATCCAAAGAAACATTGATTTCTTGCTTTTGAAGAATATACACTACGGATGGAATAAACGGTACTTTTCCTTTTGGGGCTGTTATGCTAAAACAAAGGATCGCAAACAACAGTTCAACCTCAAATCCCTGCAACATAACTACATCCAAGCATTTATTCAAAGAAGAGAAAAAACTAACTACATCTAATCACATTAGCAATTTCCCGGGAACCCGAAAAGCAGTCAACAAGAACGATCGTCCATGGCCGGCCAGTAACGACAGCGCCGAATGTGGCCGACTTATGTCATAGTACCTATGCATTGAAGGCCATAGCGAAGGTGTTAATACAAATGACATGCAAATTATTCCGAGTTGGACTGTAATCAAGATTCGATACCAGGCTTTAGATCCCGGATGCATTGCATTCTTCGAGGAGATTCAGCAAGTTGTGTTCCGGGGCACTTAGAGATGGTAAAATCAAGCGACCCGAGTGGATTGGTTGGGGTTTCATTCCGGTAGCCTCGGATTCGGTGTCTCCGTCCTTTATAACCGGCAACTCGACTCTCCTTACATTAGCCGACAGTTGCCCCTTCCAGATTCTTCCATCCTGATGACAGAAAAACAGTATATGAAACTTCGATTTCAAGAAATGGTTGGTACAACTGCCGATCACTGATATACGAAAAGAACGTAGAGGTCAATTGTCATCAGCCTCTGGGAACCAACACTGTCATAATCATTCCATATTATAACCATGCATACCAGAAAATAATACGAATCTCGTTTTCTTCGCACCGCCCTCAGCAGCGGTTACGTTAATAGGTGCTCGAGCCATATTTCGATGTATCGAGAATAAAAGTCTTCAGCCATCGCTAACTTCATTTACTAAACTAAAGCAATCCATAGCAAAGAATGCGGTTATGAAGCTAGACACAAAAGGCAAGATGCCTCAGATGATTACGTTTAAAATTGAAGGTTCGGGTAGGGGGCACTGAATCGGTCGGTCACCGTCCAAAGGCTCGATCGGACGTTCGACCGGCTTAAACTCAACTGCTACATCAATTCCATGGGCAGTGGCCGTCGCACTAGCAGCATCAGCTGCAGTGGCTACATCCGGATTCGGGGGCATAACATCTCTTTCATCCTGCACCTCCAATGGGGGAAATCACCGGTCATATGCAACAAGAAATAAACTACTCAAATCATAGGGCAAAAGCAAACATCAAGGTTCAGCAAGATCAGGCATAAACCGAAATCGTAAAAACAATTCGTTGTTAATACTCGATAATCAGACCGGAAAGCTTTCGCTTTCACATAATTATTTTGCAAAATCAAGAAATTCAAGCAACATGAATTGAATAGCCAAAAGAACTCAAAATTCCAAAACCATGCACGGATTATCCCAAACCAGGTTATTCATAAAAGAAATCTGGGTTTGCTCAAATTGGTCAATTTCTAGGTTTCAATTGCAGAACCGCTTCCTCTTTGTATTCATCAAATTACACATACGGCACATGATGAATGAATTCTATTAAGAAAACCCAAAATCCAGGCAACAAAATTACCAAATAATCAGATCGTATGAACAGATCAATCCAAAATGAAAACCAATTAACGACGAATCATCAATGAACTCATCCAAGAGAAGAAAGACCCAAGAATACCAAAAAAGAAAAGAAAATAAAAAACAAAATTCTAGATTCAGATGCTACAGAATCAGCTCAAATGAAATTGTAAAAAGGGAAACTTCTTACGAGGGAGCTCTTGGAGCGTCGATGGGCAGACCTGCCAACAGAAAATCTGGAGAAAATCCCAACCATGGTTTTTGCAAGTGGCCAAATGCGGGTAATCGTTGATATAATATACTAGCATTTAGACCAGCTGTGGGCCTAACTAAGGTGGTCAGGTTAGCTTAGTTGTTGTCTATCTCTCTCTCTCTCTCTCTCTTAATCTTCTTGTTCACGGTAACATTTCTTTTTCCTTTCTGAACTGGAAATTGCTGTATTTGAAGGAAGATGATAAGAACATGGATTTCAGTTCTTGGCTGATTAGATAGATTTATTTTTCAAATGTGGAAAGATACTTGAACCAATGCTCCTACTGTTGTTAATTGATAGTGTAAATTAGGAATTAATTATCTAAATGATTAAAAATTATCTCAATAATTAAATAAATCGTTATTATTCTTGTTTCTAGAAATCATAAGTTCGAATCTAATTCTTTAAATTATTAAAGCTAATTAAAACATATACTATGACTTAATCAACACATGTAAGTAAATCAACAGCCATAGTCAAGAAGCTTCAAATCTTCAAATTACACTATCCGACATACACTTTAATCATAAAATCGATATTTTCTTTCATAAATTAAAATCTTTTAAGCCATCCAACAGATAAGCTTTGGGTGCAGTTGCCTGCCATGCTCCACCTCTTCTCTCTGCTCTACTGGCTGTCGTTGTTGCTGTTGTGGGGATCATATGGTTTAGCAGCTTCTACATAATGGGGTTTCCCTTCTCATAGAATGAGGATTCAAGTCTCAAGCCTGTAACTTTGGGTTTATTTTTATGACATAGACAACGGTTTATTACTTTTGCATCCCTATTTTTTGGATAAAAAACAGTAAAGGTCATTGAAGTGTGTAAAAATGATATTTTTGGTCAGAGATCTTTCGAATGTTACAAAATATTCATTAAACTTCTTAAACAATTACAAAATGATCCCTTGCAATGTAAAAATAGCAATAAATTTCAACAAGTTTAAGGACCATTTTGAAACTGTTTGATAAATTTTAATGACCATTTTGTAACATTTGAAAGGTAGCTGACTTACAAAGATCATTTTTACATAGTTAAGTGACCTCTAGTTACTTTCCCCATTTTTTAAATCCTTCTCAGGATCTCCAGCCACTGTATATTTAGCTGGGAACTGATGGATTCAATGTGACATTTACATCGACAACCGTCATTCATGTTTTTAGGGATGAATATGCATAATGGTTTGGTATAATATTAATTTAGGTCCTTTTTAGTTTAAAAACTAGTTAAATAAGTCCTTTGATTCTCCTAAATTTTAGATTTGAATATTTAATAGATTCTTGTTCTTTTTATATAAAACAATTTTACTTCTCAATATTTAGTCGTAGCTTCATCCCTGCATGATATCACGTCTTTACCGAGTTGATGAACAAATGATATAGTTGAAACTAAAATAAAAATTCAATATTATAATTGAAGCAATTAAAAGTTGGGTAAAGTATACAAATGGTCTGTTGACTATAGGGTATTGCTTTACTAGGCTCCTCGACAATCAAAAGTTGTAAAATACCCCTATGACTAAAGAATGTTGCTTTATTAAGTCTCTAGACTATTAAAAGTTATAAAATGGCTATTGACTATTTATTATGTTCCAAACTCGTCTTTTTTCTGTTAAAAATTGGCGGCTGTCTAAATTGAACGTTAACATGATGACTGTGATATGATAGTCATTTGAGATCCTATGATTATATTTTATCATATTACAGTTAGCAGGTTAACGTTCAACTTTAAATATCATCAATTTTTAAACAGAAAAAGATGAGTTTGAAACATAATGAATAGTGGGGTGATCATTTTATAACTTTTAATAGTCGATGGACTCAACAAAACAACACTATAGTAGGAGAATTATTTTGTAACTTTTAATAATCGAATGACTTAATAAAACAATATCCTATTATAGAAGGACCATTTGTGTACTTTACCTAATAGTATATCATTGTAATTTGCCCTAAAATTAAACAGTGTATAATATCTATGGAAATGCGATCCACTAATATGTAATACAATATTTAAATAGAATAATTACATGATACGTTTATTAGATATTTGAGTAAATTTCAGAATAAATAATGTTCGATTTTAGTCATCAAAGTGTGAGTAATCTGGAAATTCAATAATCATGTTGGTGACCACGAGCACCATTAAAATGATGATAAGTTTATTAAAAACATAGATGGAATATATTCGACATTTAAGCAGAAAAGGCAATTTCGAATGATAGACGGAACAGAACCGAACAAGCATTCATCGGAACCGACTCGATATACGCTCCGGTCCTAGCAAATCGGTGCAAAATCCTTAACCATGCCATACAAGGAGGGGAACCAAGAACAGTGATCAAATATAGCAACTAGTAAAGCTGATTCAAAAGAGTTGGATGATATATGCCGCCATCAGAGACAAAGAGGCTGCACCAGTTTTAGCCGCGTCTGTTCAGCATCCCTGTATTCATGCACCGAACATCCAGATCCGTTACCGCCACTTCTTTTCCGATAACGATATGAGCTGCAAAAGAGAACACGACAGACAATTATTCGGTATTATGGTAAACGAAACCAACTGTAGCTTTTCTGAACAGAACTCAAAGAAGAATGCAGCTCGAGAATTTTGCATGCATGCGAACTCGTGCACACCGGAGATAATAACAGATCAGTCTATGTGACTGGATATTCGATGTTAAGGAAAATGCAGGAAGTTCGGAACTTTGTTTTAGTCAACACAGATTGACCTACCAGTTCTGTTAAGTCTCTAAGCAACCAACTCGCTTACAAAAACAGAGAAAAATACGTCCTTTATGTTAAGGTGAAAGTGGTAAGAACTAAAAGTGTGACAATTGATAACCAACCTGGCGAGCCACCTGTGCTAGTCGCCGACTGTCTCTAGATGATTCAGCTGTCAATGATGATTTTTCGGAGTCTAGAGAACCATTTTGTTTATCCTCCTTTTTAGAAGTGTCCTCGTCGAGTGAGCAATCTCTGTCGGGGCTGCTCAAAGAATCCTTCTTCCGCTTTCTTTTGAAAGTGTACATGAGAAACTTACTATTTACCGTTTGAGGAGAAGACCCTTCAGTTACTTCAGACACTTTAGCATTCAGGTTTACAGCTGAGACGTCCACCGTCTCGAGCTCCAGTTTGCAAGATGCAATCCCTAAATTCCCGGTCGATCCACTGACCAGACCTGTCAACTCTTTTTTGTCTGTCAGCAATTTATCATTGTCTTTGCCATTACGGAGATCACAAACATTCACAAACTTTGAATCATCCTTGCCAACTTTTTCATATCCCGATTCAGTAACTACTTCCACTACACTCGAAGGTGAACCAGGGACGAAAGGAGAACGAGAACCCTGAGAAGTATCATGATTAGTGATCGTAGAATCTTCACCCAATCGAACATTCTCATCAGCGACATGTGAAGAACTTTCAGGGCACAGTAGATTAGATTCTTGGCATGTTGCTACAACCTGATCAGGCATATCCATAGGTGAGGGAGCTCTATTTTTCTTATATCTAGATGCTCTTTTCCTTTTCCTGCGAAAAGGACTAATGGGAAGTGATTGAATGCTGTTATGAACATCAGTTTGCATCACTTCGAACTCATCTATATTTTCCTCGGATCGAGAAACTTCTGTGTGCATATCCTTCCCTTCTTCATGTTCTCTAGGGTCTTCACTCATTGCATCATCTACTTGCCCGGAAAGAGATGAATTTTCATTAAGCAGACACCTTTCCAGTGCACGAATCCTCTGAGTGCACCCATTTCTATACAGATCAGGCTCTTTCCGTCTCATTACTATGGAGGCGAATTCAGGGTTACAAACGTAGCAATTGTCCTTACAAGAACACTTAATACCCAAATTTGTTGAACTCTTGATGTCAGAAACTCTCACGATCTCAGTTTGTATACCAAGTTGAGAAGATATGACAGACCCGGAATTGCTGATTGTATTTCCATTCGATATTTTCTCACAAGCAGCAACATCATGTTCTGATTTTTGTTCGCCCGAACACCGCATCGGGTTTTTGGTCAGCCTCTCCAACTCATCTTGTGCTTCTCTCAACTCTGCTCTAAGATCTCTTACTATATCCTCAGCTTCCCCCAGTTGTGCTTCAAGCTCTTCGATTCTTTTCTGTTGATTCAAGGACATCATCTCCGCTTCATTAACCTACAACCATGGAACAGACGGCAAGTACTGTAAGAATTGGCTTGATGAACCGACTACTCATTTATAAAGGTTTGAGCTTATCTATGCCAAATGTCTCACACAGTTATAGTTGAGTTTGAGTGATGGGGCACAAGATACGTAACAAACCAAACACCAATATAAGATATGAAACAAACAATGTCGATTGTCTTCTCGAATCTACTTGAACTAATAGCCCTAATGCACACTACTTTAACAAGCACGTTGGCCGGTTCTTATGCGCATAAACCAGTGGGTTTTCATGAATGGACGTGTCTTTCTCACCCTATAAATCTTAGGGGTTTAAGAGAAAATCAGTTAGTGCATGACCTCCCATCAAAGCAACACATTGAAAGCAAAGCAAACAGAAATGTTAACAGAAAACAATCGTATAACGAAAAGGCAGTCCCGATTCATGAATTGCATTCTTTCGAGCTCACTACGCCATGAGTAACACTCATAATGCTTGGAACGATGAGCAATCTAATCAAATAGATGAACAAGAATAACATATTTAATGCAATGCAATCAACTATACAAATTGAAACAGAAGGCAACCAAATAAATTGATCAAACATCAACCGCCAAACAAACAAACAGCTACCTTAGCATCCAACATCTGTTTCAACCTAACCAGCATATGCAATGCCTCGTCTTTGGAGGCGAACAGCTCCTTCTGGTACCGGTGAGCCTTCCTTTCCGACACCATTATCCTCGCCGCCGCCTCTTTAGCCGTGTTCAAAATTATCTCGGCATAAGCCTTTTTCAAAGCCGTCAATTTCTGTTTAATACCCAGAAATCACCAAAGAAAACCCACATCAAATATCAAAATCAACTCCTTTAAAAAAAAACCCAAAAACTAAAACAGACAAAAAAAACAAAAGAAATATTCAAAATTAATTCTTTAAAAAAAGAACAAAAGCTAGATTATGCAGAAAGGTAGTGGAGTTACTTTACCTCTGAATCGGCCATTGTAGCAACTAATGCAACGAACTGATACTGTGTCGTTCCAGACCAAATTGTTAAGAAGAAGAAGAAGAACGACGACGACAGAAGAAAAGGGAGGTTTGTTTGGTTTTAGTTTTTTGTTTCTCTTTCCCTTGTAGCAGCAGCTGTCAGTTGGGAAATGAAAGTCCTTCGCTTTATTACCGAATTACCCTCTTCTGTCCTTTTTATTTACAAACACGCCACTTCATCTGACATAACGGTTGAACCGGTGCTGTTTATCAGACCAATTGTTTCCCCTTTTTGGTGGTTCGACAATCGGCGAGCGCCAACGAGGATGGCCCACATATGGAGAATTTGTATGACGTGGGGGAACCATAGATGAACACGTAGCTAAACGCACGTAATGGGATTTTGCGTTGGGAAGTGCGATCAATTTGAGGGATACGTTCCGTAGATAATATTATTTAATTTGATTTTCCTTTTCTGGTTTTGATATTTTTATTTATGATTATTATTTAATATATAAATTAATATATCATTAATAAAAGACAAAAGAACATTATATATCCATGTACTTTTGAAAAATATTAATATGAATTATATTTTTTTTCTTAATTATTCCAATTCATAAAATTAGCTTATTGTGGTCAAAAGATTGTTTTGTTGGTGTTGATAATTACGGTATTAATGTGATAATTTACGGTGTTAATGTATATTCTAATAAATGTATATGATCAAATTAATAAAATATATGGATGGTAATAATTAAATGTATATTCTAATAAATATATTTAACGTAAATGAGTTTTGGTATAACTGATTAAGATTTATGAATTTGATTTTGTAAGGTCAAGTTTGAATCTTATTACTGTCACTTTTGGTAGGTAATTTTCAATTGGATCTTATGTATACCCTGATCCAGGACTGAAGGAGCCACTAATGACCTAAACTTTTTTGTACAAAAAAAATATTTAACTACTACATCAATATTTAACGTAAACGAGTTTTGGTATAACTGATCGAATCTTAATAAGGAAACATTATGTATAGATTTTTAACTTAACTTACATGTATTTAAATCATTTTAACAATAATTTTTTTATTTAATGGTATCTAAAACCCTCAAACTTTTGTAAAAAAATTAATATGGTCCCTAAACTTTTTTATACTCAATGTAATCCTTAACTTATTTTTTTTAATAATTTAATTTTGTAGTATTTTTTTATATTTAATTTATTAAATATTTTAATAATTGTTTATATTTTATATTTTTAATTTAAATACGTTTTTTATTTAAAATAATAATAATTCCTCAAACTTTCAAAAATAATCAATTAAGTCCGTCTACCACATCATCATTCATCAAGTATTGTCACAATAATATCGTAAACTTTTACGTCAATATTGTAGATTGTCATGTAAGTTTGTGAATTGTCGTGTAAGCGTCGTGACAGTCAACTTTTTGATTTCTTTGTTCAAAAGAGTTAGATTAATATTTCCCTAAGTTTAACGATTACATTTTGTGGGGGGAGGATTCAGGAACTACTCTAATTATTTTTTCAAAAAGTTTGAGGGTCTCAGTTACCATCAAACATATTTTTTATGTTAATGATTCTTTTATGTGTTACTACTTATAACCGTGTTTTTGTGTATTTTAAAATTTTAATTAATGTATATGATCATTAACATTATATTTTTATTATAAACTAAAATAAAGTTTTTGTTATGGAATTTCTTATCACCTTTATTGTTTTATATATGTATAACTCATATGTTAAATTTTTGTAATGATTTTTAATAATTATAATATAATTTAATTATTTAATAACTATTTCTTTTTATTTCTATTTTAAAAAACTAGATACCAAATATGTTTTCTAATTTTTTAAAAAATTGAAAATGAAAACTATTTTCTAAAAATAAAAAAAAATATTTCCTACAACCAAAAGGACCCTCATTGAGTTGTTTCGATTGTATTATTCTATTGATTAAAGCCAAAAATATAATATAGGGTTAGGCCTGTAAATAAACTGAACGTTCAACGAACCGTTCGAACCGTTCGTTTGGAAGTTCATTTATTTATTAAACGAACGAACTTGAACATGATTTTATTTCATTTAATTAAATGAACGAACACAAAAAAGGGGTTCGTTCATTCATTTACGTTCATGAACGTTCGATAATTTGTTCATTAATGTTTGTTCGTTTATCCTCTCTAGACTCATTTGAAATATAAATACTTAATAAATTTAAGCTTAAACTCATTAATACTTTTAAACTCGATTAATTTTAAAGCTAAATAAAAAATACTCAAACTAATTAAAGATAATATATATCTTAAAATTATTTGAAAAAAATATTATCAAATATAAATTTGATTAATTTTATGTTCGCTTATCATTTAACGAACGAACACAAACAAGTTAAATTTCTTAAAGAACGAACATGAACAAGAAATCTCGTTTGTTTAATTGTTCGAGTTTGTTCGGTTAAAATTAAATGAACGAACATGAACATACATTTATTCTTGTTCGTTCGGTTCGTTTACAGGCCTATATAGGATAAATTACATGTTAATCATCTAAACTATTATTTTTGTTATGTTTTGGTGTATAATTGTTTTTTTTCAAATTATACCTAATGTTTATTTTTTTGGTTCGTTTTGATACCTAACAACTATGTTATATGTCACTTTTTATGTTAAATTATATTATTCATCACTCGACTATCTTCTCACTCTTATTTTGGTCACTGAGGTTTAATTTTTTAATTTAATCACTTAACTTTCAAATTACTCATAATTTAATCACTCTAACTTTCAAATTTAATTTTATTTATTTTTAATTATATGTTAATAAAATAAAATAAAAATCATATCACAAAAATTATTAATAAATAAATTAGAGTGATTAAAACATGAGAAATTTTAGAGTTAGGTAGTTAAATAAAAAAATTTAAATTGTAGTGACCAAAATAGAAATGAGAAGATAATTGAATGACAAAATGATAAAATAAAATTTAGATACCAAAATAAAATAAAAGTAATAGTTTAAGTACTAAATATGTAGTTTACTCTAAAATATATTATCACCTTTATTAAAGGAATTAAAGATAAAAAATATAAAGAAAGGAAGGGATAATTTTTAATAATAACAACGCACTATTATTTTTTGTCGATAAAAAAAACCCACTTCGTTTTGGATATTTACAAACAGACAAGACACGATAACCAACCATTACGCGCCACGTAGTTTTTCGCATATCGGAAACAGTCTGCACAACGTGATGCCACCTCACCCTTGTCCTTTAAGTATCTCTCGGGTGAATTTAACATTAAGTTTATATACTCCATTCTAAATTTAACATTAAATTTTAAAAAAATAGTTAATAAAAATATATTAAAATTGATAGTTTAGATATTAAACGTCTTAAGTTTTAATGACAGGGTATTAAATGAAATAAAAACAAAAAGTTAGACATGAGTTTAAAAAAATTAGAAGTTTAGGTACTAAAACGGATAAACACTGATAATTTATATACTAAACAGGTAGTTTAGCCTATAATTTATGGACATGTGGTGTGCTTTACCCTGCTATATATGTTTTCCCCACGCAACTTCGGTATCTGCTTAGCATTTTTATCTCACCAAAATATTCCTTCGCAGTGAAAAATCGAAAGAAGGAGAAAAATATATGGGGATGCCGCCTGCCACGTGCGCCTCCGCCTCTTCATCCACCGCGAACGGCGGTGAAATTGGAGAGATCATGCTTTTTGGAGTCAGAGTTGTGGTTGATTCCATGAGGAAAAGTGTTAGTATGAACAATCTTTCTCAGTACGAACATCCTTTTGAATCGAACAATAATTGCAACAAGAACAACAAAGATCAAGGCCATGAGAACCTCAACGCCGGATACGCCTCCGCCGATGACGCCGTTCCCCACGCCACCGGAAATCGCGAGCGCAAACGAGGTTTATGCATATAATTTTTTTTATCATTACCTTTTCGTCTTCTTTTGATTTTTAAGTTTCTGATTTAATTTTGATTTTTTTTTTGAAAATGAAATTTAGGAGTGCCGTGGACGGAGGAAGAGCACAAGCTGTTTCTGGTTGGACTGCAAAAAGTAGGGAAAGGGGATTGGAGAGGGATATCTCGAAATTTCGTGAAGACTCGTACGCCGACACAGGTGGCGAGCCATGCTCAGAAATATTTTCTCCGGCGAAGCAATCTCAACCGCCGCCGTCGTAGATCTAGCCTCTTCGATATCACCACCGATACGGTATTGGTTATTACTATACCCTTTTCAACATTTTCCCTTCTTTGTTTTGCTTTGAAAAGTGACGAATCTAAAAAAAAAGTCCGATCGGTTGAATCATAAGGCTTTGACTCCTGACATTTGATCAGTAAAACTAATTTGTTGATTCATTTTATCTTCTTTTTGGTTAGTTTTCTCATTTATGCTACTGGATTTGTTTAACAAAATTTTACTTGATGTGGATAAGATATTTGTATTAATTTCTTCAGAAAACATAATAATAATTTGATGAATGAGATATCCTCGTAATTCACTGGCCTTTATGCTGACTTGTATATTTTGCTACTATTGGGTTAGGTACAGGCAATTCCAAAGGAAGAAAAGCGAGTTGATCGGCAAGAGAACACAACTCAACCATCTGAGACCAATGGGATTCCCATGATGCCGGCTGCTTTTCCCATGGCTTTTAATCCGCTAATTCATCTGGTTCCCGTTGAGAATCCGACTGAAAATCTCACAATGGCACAGGGGAATCAATCAAATACCAATGGTGCAACAGCAAACCTCATCCTTCCGGTTTCTAGTTTCCCAGCTCTTCAGAGATCTGACCTCAATGCAAACTCGAACCCGGTTTCCGATCCATTATCATTGTCACTCAAGCTCTCCTTGCAATCCGATCAAACAGATTCATCATCTTCAGCTTCAAGTCATACCCCATTTCAGGTGATGTCAAACTTTAGCAATGGAGATAACAATAACATCATCAGCGTTGCCTAAGAATTGACATTAGATTATAATAAGCAAAGCCAGAAAAGCTTATTATTAGAGCTTAAATTGGGGCTTAGGGAAAATAAAAGAACATAAGGTAAAAATTAG